TCAATTCGGTTAATTTAAAAAAATACTTTAACTTTTCTGATTCGAAGTTGGACGAATCGGAATGAGCAGGATAAATTCGAGAGGTGTGGTATGTCTATTATATAGATTTTGGATTATTCAGAAAATAAATCATAGACCTATCACACACATAGATCTATAATGATCATTTCAATTCGGTTAATTTAAAAAAATACTTTAACTTTTCTGATTCGAAGTTGGACGAATCGGAATGAGCAGGATAAATTCGAGAGGTGTGGTATGTCTATTATATAGATTTTGGATTATTCAGAAAATAAATCATAGACCTATCACACACATAGATCTATAATGATCATTTCAATTCGGTTAATTTAAAAAAATACTTTAACTTTTCTGATTCGAAGTTGGACGAATCGGAATGAGCAGGATAAATTCGAGAGGTGTGGTATGTCTATTATATAGATTTTGGATTATTCAGAAAATAAATCATAGACCTATCACACACATAGATCTATAATGATCATTTCAATTCGGTTAATTTAAAAAAATACTTTAACTTTTCTGATTCGAAGTTGGACGAATCGGAATGAGCAGGATAAATTCGAGAGGTGTAGTATGTCTATTATATAGATTTTGGATTATTCAGAAAATAAATCATAGACCTATCACACACATAGATCTATAATGATCATTTCAATTCGGTTAATTTAAAAAAATACTTTAACTTTTCTGATTCGAAGTTGGACGAATCGGAATGAGCAGGATAAATTCGAGAGGTGTGGTATGTCTATTATATAGATTTTGGATTATTCAGAAAATAAATCATAGACCTATCACACACATAGATCTATAATGATCATTTCAATTCGGTTAATTTAAAAAAATACTTTAACTTTTCTGATTCGAAGTTGGACGAATCGGAATGAGCAGGATAAATTCGAGAGGTGTGGTATGTCTATTATATAGATTTTGGATTATTCAGAAAATAAATCATAGACCTATCACACACATAGATCTATAATGATCATTTCAATTCGGTTAATTTAAAAAAATACTTTAACTTTTCTGATTCGAAGTTGGACGAATCGGAATGAGCAGGATAAATTCGAGAGGTGTGGTATGTCTATTATATAGATTTTGGATTATTCAGAAAATAAATCATAGACCTATCACACACATAGATCTATAATGATCATTTCAATTCGGTTAATTTAAAAAAATACTTTAACTTTTCTGATTCGAAGTTGGACGAATCGGAATGAGCAGGATAAATTCGAGAGGTGTAGTATGTCTATTATATAGATTTTGGATTATTCAGAAAATAAATCATAGACCTATCACACACATAGATCTATAATGATCATTTCAATTCGGTTAATTTAAAAAAATACTTTAACTTTTCTGATTCGAAGTTGGACGAATCGGAATGAGCAGGATAAATTCGAGAGGTGTGGTATGTCTATTATATAGATTTTGGATTATTCAGAAAATAAATCATAGACCTATCACACACATAGATCTATAATGATCATTTCAATTCGGTTAATTTAAAAAAATACTTTAACTTTTCTGATTCGAAGTTGGACGAATCGGAATGAGCAGGATAAATTCGAGAGGTGTGGTATGTCTATTATATAGATTTTGGATTATTCAGAAAATAAATCATAGACCTATCACACACATAGATCTATAATGATCATTTCAATTCGGTTAATTTAAAAAAATACTTTAACTTTTCTGATTCGAAGTTGGACGAATCGGAATGAGCAGGATAAATTCGAGAGGTGTGGTATGTCTATTATATAGATTTTGGATTATTCAGAAAATAAATCATAGACCTATCACACACATAGATCTATAATGATCATTTCAATTCGGTTAATTTAAAAAAATACTTTAACTTTTCTGATTCGAAGTTGGACGAATCGGAATGAGCAGGATAAATTCGAGAGGTGTGGTATGTCTATTATATAGATTTTGGATTATTCAGAAAATAAATCATAGACCTATCACACACATAGATCTATAATGATCATTTCAATTCGGTTAATTTAAAAAAATACTTTAACTTTTCTGATTCGAAGTTGGACGAATCGGAATGAGCAGGATAAATTCGAGAGGTGTGGTATGTCTATTATATAGATTTTGGATTATTCAGAAAATAAATCATAGACCTATCACACACATAGATCTATAATGATCATTTCAATTCGGTTAATTTAAAAAAATACTTTAACTTTTCTGATTCGAAGTTGGACGAATCGGAATGAGCAGGATAAATTCGAGAGGTGTGGTATGTCTATTATATAGATTTTGGATTATTCAGAAAATAAATCATAGACCTATCACACACATAGATCTATAATGATCATTTCAATTCGGTTAATTTAAAAAAATACTTTAACTTTTCTGATTCGAAGTTGGACGAATCGGAATGAGCAGGATAAATTCGAGAGGTGTGGTATGTCTATTATATAGATTTTGGATTATTCAGAAAATAAATCATAGACCTATCACACACATAGATCTATAATGATCATTTCAATTCGGTTAATTTAAAAAAATACTTTAACTTTTCTGATTCGAAGTTGGACGAATCGGAATGAGCAGGATAAATTCGAGAGGTGTGGTATGTCTATTATATAGATTTTGGATTATTCAGAAAATAAATCATAGACCTATCACACACATAGATCTATAATGATCATTTCAATTCGGTTAATTTAAAAAAATACTTTAACTTTTCTGATTCGAAGTTGGACGAATCGGAATGAGCAGGATAAATTCGAGAGGTGTGGTATGTCTATTATATAGATTTTGGATTATTCAGAAAATAAATCATAGACCTATCACACACATAGATCTATAATGATCATTTCAATTCGGTTAATTTAAAAAAATACTTTAACTTTTCTGATTCGAAGTTGGACGAATCGGAATGAGCAGGATAAATTCGAGAGGTGTGGTATGTCTATTATATAGATTTTGGATTATTCAGAAAATAAATCATAGACCTATCACACACATAGATCTATAATGATCATTTCAATTCGGTTAATTTAAAAAAATACTTTAACTTTTCTGATTCGAAGTTGGACGAATCGGAATGAGCAGGATAAATTCGAGAGGTGTGGTATGTCTATTATATAGATTTTGGATTATTCAGAAAATAAATCATAGACCTATCACACACATAGATCTATAATGATCATTTCAATTCGGTTAATTTAAAAAAATACTTTAACTTTTCTGATTCGAAGTTGGACGAATCGGAATGAGCAGGATAAATTCGAGAGGTGTGGTATGTCTATTATATAGATTTTGGATTATTCAGAAAATAAATCATAGACCTATCACACACATAGATCTATAATGATCATTTCAATTCGGTTAATTTAAAAAAATACTTTAACTTTTCTGATTCGACAGGTTAACTTTCTGATTCGACAGGTAACTTTTCTGATTCGACAGGTACTACATTTTCGACTTTTCGGAGAAATTTTTTTGAAGTCTGTAAATTTTATATGTGATTCTCCCAAAGATTCTGAATACAATGCTAAAAACCGCATCCAAATCGGTCGAAATTCTATAGAGTTATGAATTTTTGAAAATCGAAAAAATACCCATTTTTGTCATTTTTGTCGATTTTTTTGCAAAAAATGGGTGTTTTTTCGATTTTCAAAAATTCATAACTCTATAGAATTTCGACCGATTTGGATGCGGTTTTTAGCATTGTATTCAGAATCTTTGGGAGAATCACATATAAAATTTACAGACTTCAAAAAAATTTCTCCGAAAAGTCGAAAATGTAGTACCTGTTAGACCGGTCGAAAAGTTTTCGAAATTATCAGAATTTTGAAAAACGCTGAAACATGTCAACTGAGATAGGAATTAAGCTATTTTTTAAAATTTAGATCTGCCAGATCGGATAAAAATGAACGGAATTACATGGAGTTTACCCTTTCCCTAAGTAAATTTCCGCCACTGTAGATCTATAATGTTCTTTTCAATTATGCTAACACCGAAAAATAAAAATTCAGTATCTTTTGAAGTTAACCGAATTAATGGATCATTATTATAGCTATTATTGAAATAGGAACAGGAATCGTCCTTTCCAGCTTAAGGAAGTATATATATTCTTTTACATTCTTATTTCTCAAAAATCTAATTTCTAGAAAAATTCTCTTAAAAAATTTTTGGATGTTAGATGGGAGAGTACCCAACAATATTTAATTTAAAAATACAAACATTAAATCCTTCTTCTCTATCCGTTCTCCCAATAAGAATTTTTGTTTGATATTCATTAATTAAAGGAATATCCTCCCCAATTTCAATTTCTCTATCCAATTTATCATCAATAATTAATTTAAATAATTTTTCTTTGTTTAAAATAATTTGTAATTTATGCCAATTTCCATCATTTATTAAATTTGTTGAATTTAAACAAATTAAATTATTTTTAATTAAACAAATTTGTAAAAAGCCGTGATGGAAAATAATTGAAAGATTTAATGAGTTATCTGATGATGGATTATATGAATGCTATAAAATAATAAGAAATTATTTATAATTAAATTAAAAATATTAAGGAATTGCTGTAGATAATGTGGGGTTTTGGGAAATATTTTCTAAATTGTTTTGCTTATTTATACACCACGAATGGATATGTGTGTGTTTGGGGTAATGAAATGCTGAATAAATATAAATTCACAAAATCCCTTCCACTTTAAATATATTAATGTCTCAATATAAATTCCTTAATATTTTATATATATAAAACTACCAATTCAATCAAATGTCCATTCAATGTCCTTGTACGAAATTCCAAATTAAAATTACTTATCGAATATTCATTAATAGATTCTGATAATTTTGTGATATTTTTGTGTTGTTTATTTTTAATAGATGTATGATTAATATTTATTTTTGGAGGGTTAACCAATAAATATTGAAGTTGAGAATTTTTGGTTAAACTAAAAATTAAATTAAAAATGGGGGGATAGAAAGGCTCGGATTTTTAATTAAATGTACGTGGCAGTTGATGTACAAACAAAACCGCCCCCTCCAACAATATTTTCACATTTAGAACCATTCGGGCAAATTAAAGAAGCGTTAAAACAAAAATCTTGTATCTCACAGAAAATTCCCTAAAAATTAATTTGAGAAGTATGTAAATAATTAAAAATTATCTACCATCCATCCAGGCTCACAATTACATTCAAAATCATTAAAAGTATTTCGACAACTACCATGAACTCCACAAGTTAAATCCATTCCATTTATATTATATAAATTATTAACATTCATTAAACAAATATCATCAGAAACTGTCCCCTTGAATTTTTAAATTATTTTTTTATTTTTAGATAGTAATTGAATTTCTCTGCAAGATAACCCCCAATGATTAACTTAATGTTAGAATATAGTTGATTATTCAATTAACAATTTCTTGAAAAATAAAATTGAATGACAAGGGATTTTTTAATTAGAGGTAGGGGAGAGGGGCCAAAGGAGAATCCAATCAAAATTAAAAGGAGGGATCAACGGAAAATCAAAAAAATTAAAAATTTCGCTCTTACATTAAGCAAATTTTGTTGAGAAACTCTTTTGCCAAAAATTTTTTCCCCATCTTCAATTTCCAAGTTTTCCCCTAACTGTACAATTTTTTGATTAACACGAAAATCCTTAAAAAAGTAATTTTTATAAAATTTTAAATAATCTTTCCAACTTGTATAGTTCCTTTAAAAAATAATTCAGAATTATTTTGTAAAGAATTATTTAATAAAAACTGCCCAATAATTAATTTATCGGCTAACAATGGATGGGCAAATGGACGTTCCAAAATAGTTGAACTTTCTGTTAAATATTTTATTTTATTAATTTATTTTTGAATAAAAAAATTCATAAATTTATTCTAAATTTAAAAACTATGGGTAAGAAAACCCTGAGATTCGGGAGCCGAATTTCGTTATTCACTACACCTTAACAGAGGTGTTTCGAAACAAAAAAATCTTCGAAAATCGGAAATCGGAAATCGAAATAAATCCAAAAATATCGAAATCGAAAATCGAAAATATTTTTCAAGATCTTCGAAATCGAAAATCGAAAATCGAAAGAAAAAAAACCTCGAAAATCGGAAATCGAAAAACGAAAATCGAAAAAAAAATTTTTTAATAAAAAAATTTGAAAATTGATTTATGTTATGTTAGGTCTCAAGTGGATCTCTCATCATGAGATCTTGTGGATTAAGAGGGATAACGGAGGATTTGAGTAAGATCCCTGAATATAGTAAAGCAGAGCTAGGGCGCTTTACTCAATGGTGGACGGTACCTGGCATAGGGTTCTGGCATGGGGAAGGGGGCTTCCAAATCCACCTTAATTCACGCAAATCCTCCAATATACTAGAGCTATCTTAATTCAAGCAAATACCCAATAACCGGAGCCGAAGCATAATATTGTTAATAGATCAGGGCTTTCTCCAATTAGCGCCGCAGGCGATAATTTTGAGAATTTTGGAACATCCTTAAGCCAAAAATCTTCTTTTTTTCTGCGCCGCAGACGAAAATTTTGAGATTTTGGAAGCCCATAAAGTCAGATTTCTTCTATTTTTAGCGCCGCAGGCGAAATTTTTGAAAATTTTGGAAGACCATGAAGCCAAAAATCTTCTTTTTTCTGCGCCGCAGGCGCAAATTTTGAGAATTTTGGAACATCCTTAAGCTAAAAATCTTCTTTTTTATGCGCCGCAGGCGAAAATTTTTTAAATTTATGATGGCCGATAAGCCAAAATTCCTCATTTTTGGCGCCAAAAATTCAAATTTTTTCAAAAATTCGGAAATCGAAAATCGAAAATATCACAAAATTTCGAAAATCGGAAATCGAAAATCGAAAGGAAAAAAACCTCGAAAATCGAAAAACGAAAATCGAAAATCGAAATTTCGAAACACCTCTGCACCTTAACCACACAACAACCTCTCATTCCTTAAGAATAAAATTGAATAAAAAATATTTTTAAAAGCTAAAAAATGACAAAACATGTGGAGGGAGTAATTTTAAGGAGAATAAAATAATAGAATTTTTTCATTTTCTCAAGTCGGAAAAAATTTTCTCTCGAGAAATTCATACCGGATGTGGGAACTGAAAACTTGGAAAATTTCTTGAGTTCCAACACAACACTAACAAAAAAAATGTTTTACGTTTTAACAGAGTACGTCGGGTAACGATAAAAGGTCAATTTGGGCTTAACTTAGTCAATTTTCTAAGTAAATATTTTTAAATTAACAATTTTTATAACCAACCAAAGCTTTTATCAATTCGCATAATTATTTGATTTCCATTTCTTTCAATTTCAAATAAATGGATATTATTATCATTTATATTAACTTAAAAATTAATTTACAAAATTTCAACTAATTATTTATTTACTACCTTCTTCAATTTTTAACAAAATAATTGCTTTTCCCCCCAACCGAATATTAACTTTCGGAACTCCATCAATTTCTAATTCAGCACTTATAAAAGTATTCATTTCAGTCTCATTAGAAGTATCAAATTCTCCCAAAAAGAAAATTGGAGAGGAATTTATTTGTTGATTTGTACGAAAAAGAAACTTTAAAAAATGAGAAAATTTTTGAAATTTTTAAATATAAACTACATTAATATTTGTTAATTGAGAAATTAAAGAGCGTTCTTCAGCATTTAATGAAAACTATGAAATTAATTTATTTTCATAATAATAATTTAAAAATTACCAAAACATGTGAGGGTGTATTATTATACCCAAAAGTATATTCTGGTATTTTTTGTTCACAATAAGGTTGTAAATATGGTCTAAAATATTTTAATTTAAACCCCGTAAAAACTTTATTAATGTCCCTCCCTTAAATAATTACCCCGCCCCTATTTATTAACCCCTCCAGCGAGAGATCGAAACAATAATTACCTAGGGTAGTTAATAAAGTTTTTACGGTATATTTGGGGTTATTCTTAAATATTTGTGGATTGGGGTTTTAAAATAGGTAGGTAGTTTTTTAAAGTAAAAGAAACTATTTCAACTGAATTTTTTATTGGATATGGAATTTCGAAAAATATTTTAAAAATTAAAGGATAGGTAGTCGAATCCCATTTCCTCCAATGGTCATCAGAGATTTTTAATTTTTATTTTCAGGTATTGAATACAAAAAATAGGTACTTTTTACATTCACAAACATAACTGCCCCAAAGGTCAATACAAGTTCCATTATTAGCACAAACTTGATTGCCATTAATAAAAGTCGTTGGCCGTTGACATAAATTTTGGTAAATACATATTGGGGAAATATTGAAAGCCCCACTTAAATTAAAAAAAGAAAATATTTATTTATTCAGTCAATCTACCCATAATCAGCATTAATCAATTCATTTCCATTAAAAACAACATCCCTCAAACACCCCACAAAATTCCCATAATCTCTCATTTCTCTACCAAAACGAGTATTCCAAATATTTGAAAATAAATGATCAAAGCTCAAAATATGCCGAAATAATAAATGAAAGCCTTCAAATAAATTAATTTTTATTTTAAAAATTATTTAAAATTTAAATTAACTTTAATAATTAGAGATATTTTTTTTTATTTTTTAACTAGGCTGGAAGGAATTACCCATTTTACAGTGTCCCCCCCATTTTATTACCCATTTTACAGTGTCCCAGGGATGCCCTAAAACTTTTTTAAAGGTACCATCGAAAATAACAATATCACTAGTTTAACGGATTGTGAATGGATTAATAAAATGGATTAAGAAGTTTCATTTTATAAAAACAAACTTTCAGTCAAAATTAATTCAAAGCCAGTCCCCCCTCCATTGTTTGACCAAATCCTTAAAGTATACCAATCAGCCTCATTTAATTTTAGAGGAAAATTAATATAATTATTTGTTTTATTTTGGTCATTTGATAAACTAATATTACTTCCTTCGTTTGATAATTTTAAATATAATTTTCCATTTAAAAGGCCAAAAGTAAATCTAAAATATGTTAAAAATTATAAAATAAATTCAAAATTATTTTTTAACTCCAAAATTAGAAATCCAGCTGAGGGTTGTCAGTTCGGAACCAAGGATTTTTTGTTCAGTTCCGAAAATCAGATGATTTTCTATGAACCACAGTCGGTAAGAGATGAATAGAAAATGGAATTTGATTTAAATTAAACGAGGGCCCAAAACTAATTTTTAATTTCCAATCAAATAAACTTACAATAATTCTCCTAATAAACTTTCTCCACTAACCAAATGGACATTATTTAAAGTTGTTCTAAAACTAAATTCCAAATTATAATTTTTATTATTTTTAATTTGATTTTGTTGAATTAATAGAACAGAAGAATTGGTAAATCCGAGAATTGGAGATTCTGAACAGTTAATAGAACCTCTAAACCCAGGAGGGCATCCACAGTTGTAATTATTATTTGAATAATTAACAGGAATACATTGATGGTTAGTAGATGTTTTTGAACAATTTTTGGAGAAACAGGGATGCTTTTGAAAAAAAATAATTATTTTATAATCTCAAAAAATCTTTGTTTTTACTTTATTTTCAAGGTCACAATATACTCCATTAAAGCCATTTAAACATAAACATTTGGCCTTTTTATTGTCAATTAATAGACATTTAATAGTTGAATTTTGAGAACATTGGGTACAGTTTTGGACAAATTCCTAAATTATATTAAAAAATATTAAATAGGAAGGTATAGACGGAAGAGGATCATATTTTTGGTAGATAGCCAATGTACCGCCGAACTATAACTTCGTTCAAAATTATCGAAGCTGGGCCGCCCTGATATAGTTCGATTCAGCTCACCGAGGCGCATCGAACCATACCAGGTCGTCCCAGATTCCATATTTTTAGCGAAGTTATAACACATTGGACTCGGTACATTGGACTCGCGGTCATCGGGGTGTGCCCGATAATTTTGTAAATTGAAAGAAAAAATAAATTAAAAAAATATTTTTAGGATAAATTCCTCATAAAATTTGAATAAAATTAAAATAAAAATTTCGTTAAAAAATTTTTTTCCGAACAAAAACAAACTTAACAGATGTATTTGTTGTCAAAAAAATATCAAAATTATTTGGATTTTCTTCAAAAATTAAAGTACTAATATCTTCATTTTCTTTAGGAAGATCCACTATTTTAGTGAAGAATTGTTGAATATCATTATTTGGTAATTTAAATTTATTTTCTATATTTTTTGAGAAAGAATTGTTTGTTGTAATTGTTGGGGTTGTTGTTGGGAGATTATTCTCGATTTTCTTTAAAAATATTTAACTTTTTTTTAATTTATTAAAATATAACAAAACATTTTTTATTTCAGCAGTTTTTTCTGTAGTAAATAAAGATTCAAGAAAATGCCGTTCTTTAGATGTTTGATCAATCGCCAATCGAAATGGCCGATCACACCAAAGTCCTAAAAATATCTTTAAGTGAAGGAATGATTGACAGAATAGTAGTTGATAAGACAAAAGGTTTTAAGGAAAAGTTTCTTTCACATATTCATAAAATTAGCCCACAGAATATTTTTACCCTTCCGAGACCTCTACTACTAATTTGTAAGGTTGGGGGATCCGAATATATTGATCAGAAAAAAGTCCGTATATCCGAAAATTTTGGATATCCAGGGATTCCCCAGATCCACCAATTCTATCTCCCCAACCACTATCCAATCTTTCACCAAAAATTTAAGATAAAAATTATTTTACCAGTAAATTTATCATTACATTTGCAAAAAGATTCATTATTAACCAAATTAGAAAAAGTACATATTCCTCCATTTAAACAATTTTTTCCCTTTACTTTACATTCTTTTTCATTAGTTGGAATTATTTTTAATGTTAAATTATTATTTTCAATTAAAGAATTATTAATTATTTCATTATTTTTATGTTGTTCACAATATATCCCAATAAAACTTTAAAAATAAATTCTAAAATTAAAATTAATTTTATCCTTTACTCGCTCGGACAGATACAAAAAGCTTTCATTCCCAACTGAACACATTCCCCACCATTTTGGCATTCTTCTTCTGGACAATTCGATTCTTGTAATTCACAAGTACTCCCTTCCTCCTCCAAATTCTGAGTAAAATTTAATTGTAAATTAACTTTAATTGTTAAATTAACTGCATTTCTAGGCCTAACACAAACACATTCATCCTCTCCAGTACTTGAATTTTTAAATAAAACAAAAGGAGATGGACAATATTTTGGTATAGTAAGAATTGGTATTTCACAAAATGTACCTAGAAATAAATTTTGGAAAATTATAACATTTGTTTATCTCTCCGATGTTTACACTTTTGTCTTCTCGACTTCGGAACTACTCTCCTCCCAAGAATCAGGTTCCAGGAACCGAAAAGATAGTTATTTCCACTACAAATTATTAACAGAAATGTTACTTTTCTGTCATGCCACCACCCCCTAGATTAATGCTGAAAATGTCATATATGTAGAGGGTAATAAAAGGTCCTAAGTCTAACGGTGCCAGTCTTTTTGTCAAGAGATGCCTGTGGACTAGGATATAGGGCTCGAAATGGTCAAAAACCATAATGGGGAGTAAGCTCATTTTTCGGGCAAAAAGGCCGAATATCAGTTAAAGCTCATTCAAAAAAGCTCATCGTGCTGAGTCGAAAGACCACAGAAATAGATAACCAATTTCCTCTAATTTTTATCCAAAATTTTTTCAAAATCCCTTAATAATGCTCATACATATATTTCTTTAAAAAAACAAACTAGCCATTAAATTCCGAAGGGCATTCACATTCAAAATAGCCTAATTTATTTATACAAATACCCCCATTTTGACAAGCCTCCTTATCTCCATATTCAATACATTCATTAATATCTTCTTCACAATTTAAACCTTTATAACCAGGTAAACATTCACAAAATTCATTTAAATTATTTTCATTTATTTTAGTTAATCTTTTACATTTCCCCCCATTTTGACAATTAATTGAACATTTTGATTGACACAAATCGCCAACAAAATTTTTTCTAAATTAATTTAATTAAATTTTGTTAAGGCATCGAAAAATGAAAATTTAAAATAAAAATTTAGAATAGGAAGGGTAAAATTTATTTGAAAAATTTCTTAATTTCCCACTTTGAAATTTGGTATATCGCTCTTAAATTTTACTCCTTACTAGGGTTGTCGATTCGGAACTGAACCGAAGAACCGAGATTTTTTGGTTCGGTTCTTCTGTTTAGTTCCGTATATCCGAAGATGTTGATGAAAATAAAAAAAGCTTTAAGAAAAGAAGTTCAGTTTATAACTATAACTCAATTCAAAATTTTTTGATAAATTCTAAAATTAAACTCAAAATTAACCAACTTGCAATCACATTCAAATTCTTTAATTCCCTCATTATTTACTTGAATAAAACAAATTCCCCCATTAAAACAAATATTTGAAGGGCATTTTTCCCTTTGAGTAGGAAATTCTAATGAATTAATTAGTGATAATAAAGTGTGGGTATTTGGAGTAGAAGAAGAAGATTGTTGAGTAAATACCTCAACTAAAAATATTTTTATGAAGAAAATAATTAAAAAACAAACCAAAGAAAAGAAGAAAAAATAACAAAATATAAAAATAATAATTAAAATTATTAGAAAAGTAGGCAATAATATTATAATTATTTTTATGACACATTTTTTATTAAAATAATTTATTTTAAAAATATTTTATATTTACATTTAAATCTGAATTTAAAAAAAGTATTTAATTTTTAATAAAGTAAAGAAATTAAAAGTTAATTTCCAAAATTTGAAGGGAATCTAGTTTAATTTTAGAAAGCTGAGCGAGACGAGATTTAATTAGATGTTAATCATTTTAAAGTTCGGTAAGAGTAGATTGGAGTTAATTATAATTTAAATTTTGGATGAATTATTAGAGAGAAACTACATAGATAAATATTACAGTTTCACTGGAAGTTCCGGTTCCGGGATAAGGAACTCAAATTGGATCCGATTCCAATCAAAATTTCGGTTCCGGTGAAACACTAATTGATACCTATGTTCTTTCCAGATTAACTGTCAAAAAGTCTGGAACTGTCAAAAAGTTAGGACCGTCAGGAGCCAAAACTCCGGGCTGTCTGATTTTTGGGACCTAGAAAGGACCTTTATTAAAAGCACTTTTTGCTAAATAAAATTTAGGTATTCTTAAAGATAAATGGAGCTTAAATAAAGAATATTTATTTAGTAAAAATATTTTAACAACAAATTTCCCCATTATTCAAAATAAATAAAAATATATTGCTCTAAAAGAGGATTTAAAGATTATTAAAAAAATAGAGGACAAATATGTATTTATTTATTTGGTCAATAACTGTGTGAGTAAATCTATATATAATACATCATCTCAATTAAATAAATATTATTTTGAATTACAGAGGAGGAAAATATTTTATTTTAAAGTTTTTACTAAAACCTCTCAGGCAAATATTCTAAAAATACTAAAATTGTTGGAGAGTATAGTTTGACTAACATGGTTGTTTAGAATGACATTAAGATGTAATTTAGACTTGGAACTCGGAAGAACTTATGATCAGTGCTGTGTATTTGGCATTTCTTGGCTCCAGCTCAGGCTCCGGAGTTTTTAAAATCTCATCTCCGGCTCAGGAGCTAGCTCCCGGAGCCGTACCAAGCACTGCTTATGATAACTATGAGAATTTTTTAGAGTAATACTAAAATGTTATAGGAAGTTGAATTTGGTACTATCTAAAATAGTTTCAAGAAAGAGATATGAAATTTATCTAGGTCCAACTTTCATAATCCTAATTTAGTTATAAGGCCAGCATAGACTCGGGCTGTGTCAGACCAAAATATTTTTGTAATTTTCAAATTTTGTTAAGTAAATAAAATATTTCTAAAGTTAAAACAAAAATGAAAGCGAGATCTAAAAATGAAGTATATTTAGAAAATAGAAGAGGATATATCGAGCAAATAAAGAAATAACAAACAAAAAAGCTAAACAATAGCCAAGTAGAAGAGGGCGATATACATACACTAACAACCTAAAAAGTCCCTCTACTTTTTATATTTTACAGAAAATTTTCTTTGTTAAAATTATTAAAGTACTTGAAGAATGTAAACAAAACATTGGATTTAATTAAATTATTTTAGTAGTATAAAGAAGTTATTTAGGAAATTGAAATGTTTTATGAAAATATGAGGGGGAAAAGGTAAATTGAGAGAATAATAGGGAATTTGGCATATATCACCTTCTCTCTCCCATATTTTCATCTTTTTGCATTTTGTCATCTAAATTAAGCAAAAAAAGTTAAATTATAATCAGAAAGTCCAAAATGTTAAATTTAGAGAAACAATATTTCTGAAATTATAAAATAATTGTGCTAAATAAATTCAGAAAAATAATTCTGGTATGTTCTAAATATGGATGTGGGTTCTTAGAATATCTGGAAACGAACCGAAAATCTTCGGTCTTCGACTCAGTTTTAAACAGACGATTTTAGTTTTAATTTATTTAAGTGGACTAAAAGGATTCAAAACTCTGGGCATGTTTTGATTTTTGATCGATAAAGTAAGAGGAAAATATTGGTATACAAAACTAAGAGAATTTTAATGATTTTATGATAAATAAAATAATGAAATTATCAAATAGATTTAGGCAATAATTTTAATAAAAATTAAAATTGTTTTTGATTCGTGACCAGTAAGCTTATGTAAATAAATATTGAATATACATAATCAAAAGAAATAAATGCTTAGAAACTTGATAGGTCCGTATAATAAAAATTAAAATAAATGCAAATTAATAAAATATAGGTCAGTTAGTGTATTTAAAGGAAGATATGAAAATAATAAAAAAATTTATACAAAAAATAGTTTATAAAAAAAGATAATATCTCCCCTTAGCGTTTTGTGCGGCAAAAATTTTAAATAAAAAGAAACAGACATGAATAATTTTTAAAAATCTAAAATTCTGAATAATAGAGTTGCGCCCCGAACGATTTTTTCAGATATTTCTCTGACCAGAACTACGGCCTGAAACAATTCAAAACCCCATCCACCCCGTACCACGACACACCGAGTCCGAGCTTTCGAGGCCCAACACTAATAATAATTTAGTACATTTTTTCAATGTTTTTTTTGAAAATTTCCTTCAAAGGACTTAATGAAATTTTAGGGAGTTTTTGAGTTAAACTGCTTTTGTAAGAAATTAGCCTTTAGGAAATGAAAAAAAAGTTGAAATTTAATGTTTTTTTAGATTCGAGATAGGAAAAGAAGGCTAGCTAAATTCAATATTTAATAAAAATTATTTTAAAAATCATTAAATACCGTATTTCCTAAAATAGTACGGCCTGCTAAATTAGTACGGCCCCCTGAAATAGTACGGCCCTTTGGAAGAGGGTTGAAAAATAGTACGGCCCCCTAAATTAGTACGGCCCCCTGAAATAGTACGGCCCCCATTTAAAAATATAAAAAATAGACAAAATTTGTTTTTTTAATCATAGTAATTATGCCTCGCAATATTTAACTAATTTATTGAATCTTAATATCTATTGGTATAGAAATTGGAGTGCTTAAGAGGATATAGGTGGATTAATGGAGACTATGTTGGATTTGGAAGGATATTGTAGATTTGGAGTAATTTAAGTATGGATGAATTTAAAAGGATTAGTTGGAATCAAAGTGAATAACGAAAGCTTTTAGTACTAGGAAGTTGGATTGACAACCTTCTATCTAAAAATTAAGGGCAACTCAAAACATGCTAGTATCTCCTAAATCAGTATCGGGATTTGAGTTAATGATACCAATACCGGCTCGGGATTGGGATTTAAAAATCGGTATCGTTGTTTTCTGAAAAATTTTAATATGAGCAGGAATTAAATAAATTTATTTTCCAATTCAAAGATCTTAATTATAATAAACCGCTTAACCCTAAATGATTTAACGCTTGCCTCTCCACAAAACACGAAGTAGACAGATGCACAGATGTCATTATAGACGGGGTCTTAAATAATTTTTAAGGTCTGCTAATTTCATGTTTGGAACACGCTAATGATTTGGGATAATTTCCGAGCATACTATTGTGGATACGGCTCTATATGAATGGAGTGCTCGGATGGAGTGCCTTAGACCGCCTCGGAATTGGGTCAATTTTCCTTAGTATTTGATGTTTGTCATAAGGCAAAACTTGTAAAAAATTTTTTTTCTCGGCTTATTTTGTTGGTTGAGTAGAAAAACTCGGTCTTACAAAACTCGGTCGAGACAATTTGTCTGTTGTTGTTTTTCTGTCCCGTTAGTTAGCCTGACGCGAAAATAAAAAATTAAAAATAACAGCACTCGTCCCAAAAGACCCCAAACAAATTGGATCGAGTTTTGTTAAGACCGAGTTTTGCCACTCACACAACAAAATAATCAGAGGAAAAATTATTTTTTACACAGTTTTGCCTTATGACAAACATCAAATACTAAGGAAAATTGACCCCATTCCGAGGCGGTCTAAGGAAGTAAGGAAAAATGCGATCCGAGCACTCCTTTCATATACATTCGTGGATAATATAAAAAATTTAAACACAAAAAAAATTCAGATAATTCTGAAAAAGGGTTGAAATATAGTGCGGCCCCCTAAATTAGTACGGCCCCCTGAAATAGTACGGCCCTTTGGAAGAGGGTTGAAAAATAGTACGGCCGGCCGTACTATTTTAGGAAATACGGTAACTCTAATAATATCGTTAATTAAAAAATAATAAAAAATATCGATATATTAAAGACCCTTTTTTTAAGTAAATCAAAAAGCATTCCTTAGATTTTAAGTAAAAGATAATTATTGAGTTGGGAAATAAAAAGGATAGGGCAAAAGAAGAAAAGTCGCGCAGCAGAACTAGCCGGCTGTCAGAAGCGAGAATCGCTTGGGCGTGAAGCTTCTTAATATATTAAATAAATACTAGAGTTGATTACTAACTCATCACTAAAAGTCAAAGTTGTTTTTTATTATATATTTGTGTGTAAAAATTAGTGGAAAGATAATTTTTCTTTTATGAACAATGTAATAAAACAATTAATTAACAATTAACTAATATGTAGTTTACAGAAAATATTTATTAACTCTTCTCTTGAAAAAAATTTCTTGTAATTCCTTCCGTAAAAACAAAATAAATAATAACTAGGGCGTGTAAAAATATGCACGGAAAATCCTAAAATATGCGCATATATGTATATGCACCGAAAAAGCCCAAAATATGCACTGAAATATACAAAAATTTTCAAAATATGCACTGGATTTCACTCAAAATTGATTAACAACTTTACACAAAAAATGTGAATTCGAGCAATAAAATGTTTATAATTAATTTTGGCGCTCAGAATTATAAATTTAATTATTTTTAAGTTATTATTAGAGAACGACATTTTCAATTTTTTCGTATAAACAATATAATAAAACATTTAATTAACAATTAATTAACAATTAACTAATAGTTTACAGAAAATATTAATCATGACTCTTTTCTTGAGAAAAATTTTTTTGTAATTATTTTCGTAAAACAAAATAAATATTAACATTTAAAAGCCAATTTTCCAGGTGATGTTAGCTCTCTATATCAATTAATTATTTTCACAGCCGAAGCAGGGTATTTGCAGCATTTATCGCTAGTTCCAGCCTCCCCAGGTTTATAACTATATTTCCAAGGATTTGCAGCATTTTCCCCTAAATACTCAGTACAAGCAAATTTAATATTAGTTTCCGGTTTGTTGTTTCCATAAATTTGCACATTTCGAAGAGTTAATTTATCGTTGTATTTTCGGTTTCCACCTTTTTGTAAAATTATATTAATTGCATAATTTGAAAGTTCTAAGTGTATATTTGTTGGAGTTATCGGATCCCGCACATTTGGGGAGGGGCTACTGCCAATTTCCCCTCTCTAATTATTCAATATCAAATTATCCAAATCCCCAATCCCGTTCCAGAAAAATCTCCAGATATGCGGAGCTAAACTGAAAAATCGAACCTAAAAATCTTCGGTTCCTCAATGCACTAATCATTGGATATTCATATAGAAAAGCTGTTTATTAATGTAGGTATCTTATCCCCTCAAGACTCCATGTTAAGGTTCTTTTTATTCTGATATTACTACTCAAATATTTAATATTGTTAGGATTTACCAATTATAGTAAGCATTGGCCCCATGAATTTTGAGTTTTCAACAGTAACGTCTCGTGTATACTGAACTGAAGTCATGCCGGCAGAGATAACACCAATCGAGTTATTAACAGAACAGAAATTCTTCACGATTGTCTGTCCTGGCCCTCCTGAGCAAAAAATTTTCTGAAAACCATCTAAAGCTCCCCCACCATCTACAATCTAAAAAATCAAGAGCTAGAAATTAAAAAATTAAATAATACTTCTTACATAAGTAAATTTCCTTTTATCTTCAGGTTTTGAGTTTGATGCGCCTATAAAGGTACCAGCACGCCAACAAACATTTTCAAAACTATAATTTAAAAATAAGATTTATTAAATATAGCAGTTTATTCATGGCGAACAGCCTATCTGGTAATACTTCCACCTTTCTAGAACTCATCTCTCAGAAGCTGGATCTCCAGCCTAATTCAAGATAGAATTGGCCGGATCCAATCTAGTTTCAATTCTATATAATAATATAATATCGATCACATCAATGTTCTTTTGTTACCCTCACCCCTCCCCGCCTCCAAATTACATTTTAAACATTTTATAAAAATTATTAATTTAAAAAACCTACAAAACGTTTTTGAGCGTACAACTTCCCTTGCAAATAATATCAGAAGAAGTGCCTATTGGAGATTCCCCCATAATAAGATTACTTATAGTAACACCGTTTTCAACAATAATTGCATGGTCCCAATTGTTTGTCCATCCAGGAATATTTTTACGACAAGTATTACTCTTGCCATTAAAAATAATTCTTTTCATTTTAAAATCAGTATTTTTAACTATAGTTAATGTCTTTGTTATTGTTTGAGTACTTGTAGGCTTTGGAAATTTACAAAAAGCGGCGCCTTGGTGATTTAATGCGAAAGATAATAGAGGCAACAAGAAAATAAATGAAATTAATAACAAATTTCATTTTTAAAATTAATATTTGATGTTAAATCTGTTGTAATAATTAGTTAAAATTTTAATTATTAAGGGTGAGCGGACAGTTAACTTTCACAAATGGCCTAACATAAGATTATTTTTTCAATGACAAAGTATGTTTCCTATTCAAAAGAAAGCAATTTCCTTTACTTTTCACCAGACCTGCTCACAGATACTGATTTTGGTATCCGTATCTCAGATATTTAAGGCGAATACATCTTGATATTATTTGTATCCATATCCGTATCCATGGCATGTCTGCTTTTCCCTCAAAATTAAACATATAAGTGAAAGAAAATTGTAAAATTATGTAATGGAAAATTTAGCTTTTTAATTTATCGGTTAATTACAATAATTCTGTGTTTTGGGATTTATGGCCAGTTTGTCTTGGCTTCTTCATTAGGTCATTCATCTTTTATGTTGACTTCGTTAATAAGCCCAAACATATTTTAAATTTACTAGATATATAGAAATTCAAATTTATTTATATAATCCAAAAATTAATTAAACTTCCCCTCAAAAATATTTAATAAAGCTAATTATACAATATATCAGACAATTTAATTATATAAATTTTGTTCAAGCAACATTTTAATTTAAATTAAGTCAGACAGAAAGTACAAATTTAAATTAGTTTTAAATATTCTAATAATTAAGTGCAAAATTTAAGACAAACTTTATAAACAGAAAATTAATTAAAATGGCCCGATAAAATTATCAAACAATAAAAATTGCCATAATTTTGTTAAAATAAATTTTTAATTTAAATTAAACCAGACAAAAAGTACACCTTTATATGTACTTTATAATATATTTAAATTCAAATATATTTATACATATGGATATAATAAAATTTAATTAAATATACTATGTATAATTTAGTTTAAGTTTAATATTAGATAATAAAGTTTTGTAGTAAAGCCCGGACGGAGGGGTCGTCGGTATTTTTTCGATAATCGAATAATGATGAAGATAGGATATTTTGTAGATATATACATGGAATATAATGATTAAGGTTGGATAAAATGTTGGATATTCAAAAGCTTGTTGAGCTGATAAGACAGAACATAATGAGCTCTGATTAATAAAGCTAAAATTAAAAGTAAACTAATATCAACCAAATTGATTTCACAAATTTGTGTGTCCAAAATTACACAATTTGGCTATTTGTTTTTGTAGCCAAATTACAATATTTGTTCTTGTTGAAGCAAATTTAAAATATAAAAAATCAGCGTTAAATTTTTATTTGATCACAAATAGGTATCTCGAATTCTTGATGGTTACCAATTGAAGCAGGTCATGAGTATAAATCTAAATTTTGCTTTTGTAAAGCATATAGCTATTAATTTCCTAAGGCTGAGCAGTAGGCGGCGTGGTGTAATGGCTAACACATCAGTCCGGTCTACTGAAGATGCTGGTTCGCTCCCAGCCGCCGAATAACCTTTTGCTCTAGCTAAAGGAGAGAAATAGCTATAGCCCAGCTGCTTTACTGGTAGCACCGGATGGTTCAGCGAACGCTGAACGTATGACGATCCATCCCATAGGCCCTGGGTTAGAGAAAGGAAATTCCGCCAGAGAAGGCGATGATTTAGTTTATCCCGCAGGTGAGAGAAAAAGCGGGAAGAGGGCAGATAAGAAGACTAGGGACAGTCTTCCCTGGGGATGGAGGTGTAAAGCATATAGCTATTAATTTCCTAAGGCTGAGCAGTAGGCGGCGTGGTGTAATGGCTAACACATCAGTCCGGTCTACTGAAGATGCTGGTTCGCTCCCAGCCGCCGAATAACCTTTTGCTCTAGCTAAAGGAGAGAAATAGCTATAGCCCAGCTGCTTTACTGGTAGCACCGGATGGTTCAGCGAACGCTGAACGTATGACGATCCATCCCATAGGCCCTGGGTTAGAGAAAGGAAATTCCGCCAGAGAAGGCGATGATTTAGTTTATCCCGCAGGTGAGAGAAAAAGCGGGAAGAGGGCAGATAAGAAGACTAGGGACAGTCTTCCCTGGGGATGGAGGTGTAAAGCATATAGCTATTAATTTCCTAAGGCTGAGCAGTAGGCGGCGTGGTGTAATGGCTAACACATCAGTCCGGTCTACTGAAGATGCTGGTTCGCTCCCAGCCGCCGAATAACCTTTTGCTCTAGCTAAAGGAGAGAAATAGCTATAGCCCAGCTGCTTTACTCTTTATTAATTAGGAGATGTCCGCAAAATATCAGCAAAATGTCATAGCTGCGGTCGGCATGTCTGGCTTCCCTCGTAGGAGCAAAAACACATGCTCATAACTTGGTCAAATCAAGTCGGATTCCGTTGCTTTTGGTGACATTTGACTCGGCTCGAGGAGCTCTTTCGAATGAGCTATCATTCAATAAATCGAATTTTTCACCCCGAAAATGTGCTTACACCCCCTATGGTTTTTCGGTTTTTAAGGAACTACATACATATATCTCGAATTAGCTCGCCGAGACGAATCGAATGGTATGTAGGTAATTTGACCCGTTTCTGAGTAGGCCACCGGTTAAAGTACAGCCGTAGAATCGGTATAAGTATCGGGATTATGTAGTATCGAATCCTGATAAAATATCAATTAAGATTATTTTTCAATTTTTTGTTGACAATTTTATTATTTAACTAATTAACAATCTTTAATTTGTTTTAAAACCCACTAAAACGCAACTTTTTAATTTCCTTTATGTTTCTAATCATGAAAAATAGGGGTGTGGCTATAATTTTGCGGCAGTGTAAAGTTTTTAGAGGCAGTTTATAATTTTTCTGTTTTTAAAATTGCTAAAATTATCAGATAAAATTAACAAAGAAACCAAATAATATTTTTAAGGTGTTTTTTAAGAAATTGAGGTTTTCCACTTGCCATTTTATAATATTAACCATTTTTAAATTTTACATTTTAATTTTATTCATTTTAACTGTCCTCCTACACACATCTTCCGTCTTTTCTTTCCTCTTCCTTTATTTGGCCAAATATACAAGTCAGCCGACAATAAATATTACACTCAATAAATAAATATATAAACATTCTTTCACAGTTTTCTATTTATTCATTGACTGCCACCTTTTTTTCCTTTTTTATTTTATTGGGCTGACAAATGTTTATTCACACAAATGAGCAAAAACGATTAGATTCTAATAATAGTATATAAAATATTTTAAAATATTTGATTAATTTATTTTTAAATTTTATAATTAAATTATTGCCATTTAAAAATAAAATTAAAAAATATATTTATTCATTAAACAAGTTTTCTTTTATTTTCCCAATAACACAATTAGAGCCAGCCAATTTTATTGCCTTTTTACATTTTTTAAACTTTAATTTAATTTTCTAAGTATCACCATGGAAATTTAAATTGGAAAAGTTTGTATCCAATATGAGAACTTTTTTTATTAAATATATACTACTTCCTTTAATTATTTCCTTGTTTAAATTTTCTGGAACTAAATTTCTCGTTCTTCAAAAACATACTTTTCTTAATTTTATTTATGTATATTTAAATACGGTAAATTCTCTAATTGAAGCACATGTGTTCTATTTTTCGATCCTCTCATAGGGTGTGCTTCTATTAGAGAGTGTCTTTAATTTATATTTAATTTATATTTAAATATCTCCGGAATTAAACAGGATTTCTCCATAAATGATTTTATTTTTTGGAACATTTTTTGTTGCTTTCCATCTTCTAAACATGTTTTTCCTTAAATTTCAATTTCATAATTTCCACTTCACAAAATAAATCCCCCAAATTTTCTCTTTTTCTCGTTCCCGTTTATTTTTAAAAATATATTTAAAATAGTAAAATTATTTTTTCCAAAACATTTTATTTTTTATTTTTTTATTGCCCAAATTTTTATTCTCAAAATTACACAACTCTTTACATAAATTTTTTACATTTTATTTTTATAATCCACAGAAATTGTTTGGCTGTGATTTTTTTAAATTTATGTTATAAAAATTGACGAACCAAAACTCAAAACTCGGTCATTCCCCCCACAGTTTTTTAAAAAATATATACAAACAAATCGCTCATCTTTTTTACTATAATCCTCTTTTCTTCATCAATTTTTGCTTTTTGAAGGAATTGTGCAGGTAGTCTTTTAATTTTAGGTAGTTTTTCTCAAAAAAATTTTTTGACTTGAATTAAATCCGGTTATCTCAAAATACAATAAAAAAGTTTGAAGAGAAGGAAAAACTGTTTATGACGGTTCTGAGGCATGTAAGGCATGGGTACATCCCAAGGTATCGCAAGCCCAAGGTACCGCAGAGCTATAATTATGTTCAGAATGGTCGAATCCTGTTCGCCCTTGTGCGGTTCGATGCGCCTCTATGAGCTGAATCGAACCATACCGGGGCGTCCCGGATTCGACATCTGAACGAAGTTATAGCTCTGCGGTGCCCTGGGCTTGTGGTACCTTGGCCTGCTCCCGTACGGCATTGACATTTAATATTTTTTGTCATTTTTTCCAATTTTTTTTGATGATTAATAAAACAAATCGCTATCCACAAGATATTTTAACATCTTTTACTGTCATAATTTTATTAAATCTAAATTTAAAATTTTCTTTTTTTAACGTCTGGCTTGTTTCACATAATTTTTACGCCGCTCATAAATTCACATTTCTTTTGATGTTCTTCTTTTCATAAGTGGTTCCTCTCATTTTCAAGGGGAGAGAATATTTATTTATTGAATTTTCTCAGTCAATAAACTAAAAAAAGTGATGCGATCCTAAAATATAATTTGTTTTGAAAATAATGACGTGGTTATTGTATTTTTAGTAGTTTATTTTTTAAAAATAATGTGACTCATCAAGCAAAACAGAAAAACAAAATCTGGTACTTATGAAGATGGAGGTGCCCTTTCTGCGGACTTTTTTTTGCGGACTTTTCTTCCTTTCCTTTACATATTTTACTTGTAGCAACTAACTGTCAAAGGCCCTCCCCCTTATTATTTTTCTTACCTAAGATTGTACATAAAGGTCAGATTTTCTTCTTCCTCCCCTTCCTCTATTTGCCCTTTGACATATTCAAACAAGAGACATTTATAAAGAGAAGATTATTTTTTTGCCTTTGAAAACAATTTAAACAAAAAAAAGAATTAAATAAAATTGATTTGGTGTATAACATTATGAATTTGTGTGTAAAAACATTACATTCTTACTTCTATTTAAAAATATTGAACAACTGAAAAAATAAATTGAACTCAGTATTGAACAACTCAATTAAATTTAATCTTCTCTTTATCAACAATATCTCTTGTTTGAATATGCCAAGCTCAAATAGAGGAAAGAGAGGAAGGAAATCTGACCATTTTGTACAATCTTTGGTAATAAAAATAACGGGGGGGGGGGGGGAATGTTTGAAATTACCGCATTTCTGTTCCACATTAACATATTCTTTTTCTATGAAGCATTCCGAGATCAGTGATCCATTTTCGAAATTCATCAGCGGGTAATTGAAAATTTAGTTAAAGTAAAATTTTTAATAATCTTTTGACAGTTAATTGCTACGAGCAAAACTTGCTGAAAGCAAAACAACCAAAACATTTAAAAAGGAAGAAAAGTCCGCAAAAAAAGTCCGCAGAAAAGGGCACCTCCATCTTCATAAGTACCCAAAATCTTTTTTTGTTCTCAGACTTTTCTTAAAATTCCCCGTTCCCCACCTCCCTCGTTGTACTGCCTCCCAGAAAATTTCTTCACAGATCCTCCCCCAGATCCTCAATCTCAAGTATTTTTGTTTACTGTAGAAGGTAAAGTAAAGGTAAAAGCAAAGCCTTTTTTGAGGACTTTTTTCGACTTTTAATCCTCTACTACTATTTTTAATTATTATCTTTTGTGGCTTCTTATATTTTTCTTTTTTTCAATATTTAATTTTAAAAGAAGGAAAATTAACAATATGTTTGGTGACTAATTTAGTAAACAAAATTTTGTAAACAAATAAAATCACATGAAATGAATAGGAATCTTTTTAAAGATGTTTTTTAAATAAATAAAAGAAAATTTAATTTTCCATATATTATTTATTAAATAAAATTTCTTAATTATTAAATAATTTTCTCACAATAAAAATTATTTAGTTCATTTTGAAATCGAGTAAAAACATTTGCGGAGTTCCCACTAAAATATAAATTCTTTTTTTAAAAAGAAAAATAGCACTTTAAATAATAAGGTTAAAATAATTAACCTCCGAGACCTCTAGCCTTCAGAACTGTTTCTAAATATCCGATTTGAATTTTTTTTGGTAATTCTTTGGTTTAGACCCCCTCCATTTCCTGAATCCCTGACCATTCCAAGCTTTTTCGCTTAATCTTTTCATTTGGGAGAGCTCTTCGAGTGGGTAGAATGATAAAATATAGGGTAGATTTGGTAATACTTAACAAAACTAAGAAGTTGGATCCTCTCTGTGAAAGCTTGGCCCTATCCGCAAAAGAAGGCGACTTGATTTTTTCATCATTTCGTCAGGCAATATTTAAAAATTCAGTTAAAAATAATTACAAAAAAAAATAAAATTCCTTTCTTTCAAAAATTATTTTTAGATGAAAGTACAATAGCTTTAATATTTTTTCACAATTTTTCTATAAAAATTTAAAAAAAACATCGATTAAAAGAGATTAAAAAAGATGAGTGAAAACAACAATAGTAATACTCTCCCTCCCCTTTTGCCGTCAACAGATCGCCAAATTCGTGCAGTTTTAAATTCTACAACAAAACTTTCGTCCTTGGAAAATAACTCAACAGCTTCCACCTCCTTAATGTCCTCAACTATGTCAAATGCTCATGCTTCAGGACATTGGTGGACTGTTTTGATTATTGCAGCTGTCATAATAGTAAGGAGAATATTTATATTACCGTGTTTTCTTGATTCTGTATGTATTGACTTGTGGTGTGTCCGATACTAACAGAATATGCTAGACTTTACATGTTTTTCTCAGCCCAGTTATGAACAATTGAGTTTCTCTGGGAAGCACGGTCCTTGCTACACGGTGGCCGTGCTTCACTGCGGTCGTGAAGCACGGTCGTGAAGCATGGCCACGGCGACCGCGAAGCGGCGCCCGTCGTTCCCCTCGACATTCCCATCTTCCTCAGCATCGGCGAAAACCTTTCCGCGGAGGCCTTATGCAAGGGGTTGAAACAAACGGTCATAATTTTCCAAAGTCTTGTTCAATCATGGTGGTTTTTTGTGTCATTCGAATCAACTCGATGAGCTATTTCGAATGAGCTATTGTATTTTCGAATTTTTAGGGGCCTGTATTTCTGCGGGTTTTTCTCTTCTAGAAAAAAGGGTTACATATTCGAACTCAGCTCGGCGAGAGGAATCAAATAGTTTATATTTTTATTTAGGTTCGGGCTCCCACGTGTACAGCGCTAGATTTCTTCAATTTTTTGCCACCATATTAGGTGTATTAGTTATTTAAGCGTTATTTTAGTCAAAAGATCAAAAAACGCAAAACACAACGCACAGCCAAAATTTAATGCAAAAATTTTCAAAAAGATATTCATAAAATAAACCACTAATTTGTTATTTATTTTACTATAGATTATACTTCTCTTAATTGGATCATTTGTTTTCGCAATTTTATGGAGAAAGAGAAGTAGAAAAATCCATGGCGAGTATAAACCACAGCAAGTTGAACATCTACATGCAAAAGATTTACCATATATAACACCACCAAACATTGAAGGACTTATGTGAATTTTCTTTTAAAAATATCGGGGAATTTAAATATATGGTTTAGATATGCTTTTTAATAGACATCTTTTCCACGTTAAACTGCCGGAGGCAAGCAACGATAATCTGATAAGAGTTACATATCTGGTTAGGTTGTTATCTACCATCTTAAGTTAGGCCATAAAGTTATTTTCAAAAAATTTGTTATCAGATCAAAGACATCTGGATAACTTTAGGGAGGATGCCAAAGGCAAAAATGGGTCTTCGAATTTGTTTTGATTTCAAAACAAATTCAAAAAAAATACAAAAAATTCCTCAACCAAAAAGGCATACCTAAATCATATAACTTCCTATACTTGTCATAAAATAAAAATTTTTCTTTATGCTACTTAAAATTTTTGCCAAATCTTTACAATATATATAAAATATTATTTAAATTTATTTTATTACGATAAAATTGACAAATAAATATAATTTTTGTGCACGAAGTCCATTTTTGATTAATAAGAATAGAATTAGGATCTAAAATGTCCGTAATAACGCAACAAGGGCCTGAAGAATCTAAATCTATATAAATATGATTAGTCTGTGGCCGGTTGAATCGGTTTAACCAACCTTTTGGTTTACGACAATTGGTTCCACAATGCCCAAGGATGCCACAATTGTAGTATTGATTGCCTCATTGACTATTTTGATTATATGAATAATTATTTGAATATTTATTCTTGAATTGATGCCTTTCTGAATTGTAATTGAATCTTTTCGTTTCATAATCATTTTTTACGAATTTATTTTCCGAATAATTATTTTTAATTGGTTCGTGGTCTATTTAATTTATCCTTTATTCAATCGAATCTCCAAATAAAAGTATTTGGTTTTTTACTCTAATTTTCTCAGAGGTTAAAGGTGAATGTGGGGAATATGATTGGTGTATTTATATAGAAGGGTAGGGCAATATAAGGTTGAAAGTTTTTAAAATATTAATGATAAGAAGAGGTTTGGGTTGAGGAGAAAGAAGGGAAATGGGAAGTATTTAAAAATAAGCCAAAAGAAATTAAATAATTATAAGGATGGGAAAATTACAAAATAAATATTTTCAATAAAAATTCAAATAAATGCCAATCTTCATATACATAACTAGGGATCGGATTTATCTTGAAATAAAATCGCAAAATATTAACATAAAATATTTAAATAACATGACAAATATTGTCAAAAAATGCCAAAAATTGGCTAAATATTGAAATAAAATAATGTTTATTCCCTAGCAAACCACAAAAAATTAATTTAACGAAAAAATTAATACGTTTTTAAAATTGCACATTAGCTGTATAGTTAGACGAATTGAGTATTTTTATTCTTTGGACATTTGAGATTGAATAGGATGGGAAATTTTGTGGTTTTTGCTCAATGTGCCATGAAATTTTGGGGGCGCCTTTTCAATAATGTCTGAGCGGTAGTTGGAAGACAACTGCACTGTAGTGAATAATACACAATAATATCCACATTTCAGCGCTGCAGGCAAAAATTTTGAGAATTTTGGTTGACAAGTGGCCAGATTTCTTCGTTTTTTTCCTAAAATTAAAAGAAATCTCTAAATTTTGGTAAAAATATGCAAAAATATTGAAATAATTTGAAAAAGTGCAAAATATTGAAATAACTGGAAAAGTGACAAAAGATTGAAATATATTGAAATGTAACTTTGTTCAGAATCATAATATCGAAAAACTAATAGCATATTTGGGCTTTTCTCAACATAATATATTCAGGGAAAAAAATATATTTCAATACAAATCCGTACCCTGCATATTAGGGCTGGGCTTATTTCGCACTTTCGCATTTTTTGGAGCGAAAAGTATTTTTAGATTTCGCCCAGCCCTGCTACATATAACAATTTTTCATTAGAGAATTTTGACTCAGAATTAAATTTTAATGATATTATTAATTTCAATATAGCTATGCTAGAATAATAACTTTTAGATAATATTTTCACATGTTGAGACTTCTTTTCAAGGTAGCTGCGACATTCTTCTAATAACTCCTTGAATGTTCCCTGTTGCAAATTAGAATATTTCTTAACAAATTTTATCAAATCAAGCGCCTTATCAGGAATACCTGCAAATAATCCCTCCAAATCACTTGAACACTCGTTAACTTAAAAACCATAAAAGAGAAACATCACTTACCGATGTTTTTTGCGCTGCAAGATTACCAAAAAATGAGAATATGGAAACACCTGCCCTGGAAAATTTTAGGTATAAATCCAAAATATTTTATTTAATATTTATTTTATTTAAATACCTCGTTGTCCACAGCACCAATCATTACAATAACACCAATAATTATACCAATAAGTCACTTTTCATCCTTTTGTGAATTTTGTTGAATCGTGTAATCAAGCCAGAGCAGTTGAGATTTGTTTCAGGCTCCCTGAATAAAAACAAAAAAATTAGAATTGTTTTGGAGGAGGCGTTTTGGCTCGAGCTTATAAAACTGAATTTGTGCGTGAAATTCTAAAAATTAAAACATTTAAATAGTGTAACTAAAGGTGAAGCAACCAAAATCAACATCAATAACAAAGAAGATCACAACATAAAATAATAGAAAAACTCAGATAAAAATTTTTACCTCTTTGTATTCAGGTTTTTGATCAGCGTCGGATTTTCCTCTCGTCTTCTCAGGTCATTTCAAATTACTTTGCTCGGTAAAATCGCAAATCAATTTGCCTTTGACAAAATGAGAAACTTGTACTCATCTCTGTCTAATCGATCACGTGCCAAATCAGATCCTTTTTGAAGCTGAAGACGCCTTTAAAGCAAATTAAAAAAGATCGCTTTAATTCAACAACACATACATCCGCAAACACAATCTATTCCGACTTATGGAGGCCTCCTACAATTCTTTCCTCGGCATCCAAATATTTTGGGGCCGTCATGGACCGCCAATCATCTTAAAAATTTTGTTAGTTCAGACAAACATAAACAGAATATAGAATCATTGTGGTCATCTTATAAGCGTAAGTTCCGTTATCAAGCAGGTAACAACGCTAATACACCCTGAACATTTTCTAGAATTACTTTGGCGAAAACGATTTCGTGATATTTCTCAAGTTTTTTTTATAATTTTTGGTATAATGTTTCTCTTTATTATCCTGTTGAAAAAAGTATGTAAATCATCTCTTAATCATTTTTGATACTTGCCTCACGAAAAATAAGGGTGAAAGGGAAGGAAAAATGAAAAAGATTGGGGGTACGAACCGAAGAATTACTGACGCGCTGCCATAACAGCGCAAAGTCATAACTTGCTGGAAAATTTCTGGCCCTTATCAATTTTAGTACCAAATTTAGTACCAATCTTGATCAGAGGAATCATTTAATACTATATTATAAAAAAGTATTACAGTGTGTTAAGAAATTATAACCCCCCTTGAATTTTTTGAGTTTCTCTATCTTCCCGTTGTCGGATTGTTCTGAAATTTTTTTCATTGACGTTTTGTTGTTTAGATAATATGTATATCCACATAATATAAATTTTCTTTAACTTCCTAGTTTTTTTTTCAATTTTTACCTCAGAAATGGTGTTAAGAAATTATAACCCCCTTTATTAAAATTTACATTTTTTATGATTATTATCTACTCAAGTTTTTAGAAAATAATTATTTATAAAAATGCCAAAAGGAAAAGTGTTGACAGAGTTCGAACAAGGACAGATTCAAGCATTTTTTGACGCTGGGGTTCCAAAAAAGGAAATTGCGCGACTTCTGGCTCGTTCTCCTCGTGTTGTACGCAATTTCTTATCGAAAGGCAATTTATATGGCAAAACCAAAGGTTAATTATCCATTCCCAATACATAAATATCTATCTAAAGGTCAGGGACGAAAGAAAAAGCTAGGTAACCGCACCAAGAGGCGAATTTTGCGTGAGGTTGGAAATTCAACAAAAGGCGTTCGCAAACTTCAAAAAGAGCTAGCACCCGATGTCTCTCATGTAACTGTCTGGAAATTGCTTAAATCCTCCCCAAACATTGTCCGACAAAAGATGCAAAAACGTCCAACTCTTACTGATTTGCATAAGGCCGCGAGGGTTGCATTTGCCGAGCTGAAAGTTCCTTTTCCCCTAGTATGGAGAAAGGCATGTTTCATCGATGTTTTAGCGAATATTTTTTTTGTTGTAGGTCATTTTTTCGGACGAGAAAAAGTTCAACCTGGATGGTCCTGATTCCATGAATAGTTATTGGAGGGATTTAAGGAAAGAGCCCAGGTTTTTTAGCAAACGCCAAATGGGGGGTGGTAGCGTGATGGTGTGGGCTTCCTTCTGTGTGAAGGGAAAGTCTGAAATCGCGTTTATCAATGGCAGAATGAATAGTGAGGGTTACCAAGTAATGCTAGAAAACTTTTTAATACCACTGATGGAACGCTGGCCCGAAACAGAGTTTGTCTTTCAGCAAGACAATGCGGCAATCCACGTTTCGAACTCCTCGAAACGTTGGTTTGCTGAGCATAATATTGATCTTATGGATTGGCCGGCTCGAAGTCCGGACCTGAACCCCATCGAGAACCTCTGGGGGGTTCTTGTCCGTGACGTTTACGCTGACTGCCGTCAATATGAAAATGTTAAGGAGCTTAAACGTGCAATTCGCGACGCTTGGAATAGGATCAGCATGGAAATTGTGTCAAATTTGATAAGTAGTATGCAAAAAAGGATGACTGAAACATTAAAAATGAATGGCAATGTCACAAAATATTGATTCTATTATTTTTACACTTATATTTTAAGTTATTTCGTGCGTTAAATAAAGTTTTAATAAAGGGGGGTTATAATTTATTAACACTGATTTTTTGGAAAAACGTCAAAAAAATTGTCTGAGATCAGAAATTTTTTAAGATATTTTGTAAATATTATTTAATATACATTACGATACTGCTATATAATTTTCATAACAATCCGACAGCGGGAAGATAGAGAAACTCAAAAAATTCAAGGGGGGTTATAATTTCTTAACACACTGTACAAATATTCGAAAGAATTTTTTAATCTTTAAAATGATAAAAACAATGTCAAAATTATAAATTCAAAACAACAAATAAAATTCTTTGTATATTTATGTAGTATATTTATTTTCATATTTTGTCTATCGGTATTCTGTGTATCGTGTTTCAAAAAATCTAATAACCATTTCTGCGTAATTAATTTTTACAAATTGAGAAGGAAAGAAGTAAGATTTTTCTGTACCAATATATTTCAGCAAGTAATAAATCTTAAAATTAAAGATTGTATTTTATATACGTACTGGTTAAAGATCTCATAGGGTTTCGAATAGAACAGTGATTTTATCCCGGAAAAGAAATCTAACAATTGTAAGAAATTTTTTTCTTAATCCATCGATATCCCTTTAATCCCGGTACCGCCAGTCAATTTTTTGTTTTATATGTACAAAATATAACAGATATCTCAGAGCCCGGCAAGCTGAGTCGAATGACACAAGAATCGGTTCACGGGGGACATCTTTTTCATGAGTTACGTGGGGACAAAATTCGTCAAAAAAGGGTTAAAATAGGTCTTTATTCTGATAAGAAAATCCGATTTTACAAATGATAACTAGCTTGTGTTCAAATCGCATCAAAATCAACGTGACTGGACAAGTTTTAATAAAATTGGGTACTATTGGGGTACTTTATCAATATCTCACCTTCCACACCCTGCATATTAGCTAACGGCAGAAATTAAAATTTATAAAGAAGGAAAATTGACCATTCCGAGGCAGAAAAAAATAAAAGGAAAATAAATCCGAAATTCAAATAGGGTGGGGCGGGATATTAATAATGTACTCCTATTGGTGTCGGTACGACATTTGTGCGGGTTTTGCGACATGCGTCTCACTGGAGTAAACGCTTGCTAGTTACATAAAACCATATACCGGGTGTGACAAATTAAAGGCACTTTTCTTTTGTCTTAACTTACTTTTTCAGGGTGACCCAAAAGAAACCTGGAACTTTTCTATGCTTTATAACTTTCTTTGTTCATATAATTTTTAAATAATTCCAAGCTTATTTTGTAGCTCATTTATTTCTCTATCATATAGTAAAATTAAAGATTTTTTGATTAAGGATTAAGAAAGTTATGTAATTTTAGATACCAAACGGGATGATCTCAACAGAATTTAATTAAGATCATTAGCGAACCGGACAAATCTGAAAGATGAAAACACCAACTCCTACATGGATGGCTCTGAATAGATGTAAATCAGTTCTCAAAAAAGGCTGCGACCTGGAACAATAATTTTTCTCACTTTCCTTTAACCTTATCTCAAAGTAGAATAGGGAAAATTCTAAAAGATTTTTATATTTTATTCTACATTTAGTTCTCTATAATTTCATCTTTATCTGATCTCATTATCTTTAATTTGAACAAGGTTATGCCAAAAATAGCGTGCCCGATTTCTTTTGGGTCACCCTGTAAATCGTTAATTCTTTTTTTATTTTATTCACACTACAGGTACTTATAGGGTTTGGGTCCGCTGAAAAAAATAATTCTATCTTTTCCTCAATTTGTATGAAATGGTCAACTTTCTTCTTTCTCATTTTTATTCAAGTTCCTTGTGGCATATTCAAATGATAGACATTAATAAAGAAAAGATAATCTATCAAACTGCAATAATGACTGAAATGGCAAAAATGAAAATATTGATCCCAATGTTCTATGATATTGGAGAAAAATTATTTTTTTTATTAATGTCTATTATTTGAATGTGCCACAGGGAAGTAGAGAGAAATTGGGGAAGGAAATTTTCATTTTTAGCTTTTTGCGATGAAAATTTGGACTTTACCTAAAATTGAGAAGGCCTTCGTCATAAAATTCTTCTTGCCGGAATAATCATGAAATATAGTTGTACCATGCTAAGCACCGATATGAAATGTAATAAATGTTTGAAGCTTATGGGACTTCGCAGCGGAAATGGGTTAAATAATACAAACTGCCGTACAATGTGTATTCGTGGGGATATCAAGAGATACAAAAGAGTGTTTAATTGTTTTGGTATGATTATATCTTAAACTATACTAGGTACCGGATCGGAAAGCTGCAACACTTTTAGCAGCAGTTGAGGAAAATATTTTGCCAGGAACTATTATCTATCCTGACTCATGGAAAGGATATCAGACAAAAGAAAGCTGAAGTTGAACATTTTAAAGTTATCCACAGTTACCCCTAGAATTTAAACAAAAAATGAAATAGTTTAATTTGTAATTTTAGGAATCCTAAAAGGAAAGCACACGTGCAGACTACCGAGTTCATGTGTACAAAGATGATTGGGATGATGATGTATTCAAAGAAGAATATTGCTTGGGACAAATATTGGGAGTTGGAATGATTTTATTTATATTTTATTTTTACATTATTCTTTCCGACTATTCGTTACATAAAAATTTCCACATAAATTTGTTAACAAAAACTGGTATGGGATAACTCACAAGTACCTTTGGTAACAAAATCACTGGTATTGATGGTTTTGAAAGAAGTTTATCTTTGCTATTACTATACTATACTCTCAAGCCTAAAACCTAATTCAAGTTGCAACGCTTTACAATAAAACCCCCATTTCATCACTCGCGCAAATCATTTTACTATAAAAACCAACTTTGCTATAAAAGGACAGACAGACACACAAACCTTTCTCAATTTTATAATAGGATTGAACTGAATTTTCAATTATTAGTATAAGCAAGTTTCTTAAGGTGTTATGAATAAAATAAAAATGAATTACCGATTTTTATTAATTTTAAAGAAAGTTACGACCAAAAGAAAATTTAATTTTTTATATTTATCTTAATTTTACCTCACTATCCATCCATGCAGCACCAATAATTTGTTCAACAGGTTCGGACGAAGTAGCTTTTTCATTTCGTTTTTGAAATTTGTTGAATTTTTCAATCAAATCAGAGCAGCTGAGATTTGTTTCAGGCTCCCTGAAAAGTATAACAATTAATAACTTTTTTCATGGGGTCGGGGAAACTTAGCTTATTTGAAAAAGTTCACCTGCGAATTCTTAACCCCATTTACACCCTCAATGCCTATTTACACAACGCCTAAGTACTTGAATGTTTATTGCCCCTAGAAATAATAATTTGGTATAAACCCTCAACCCAAGCCATTTTTCTTAACTTTTTCCCTTATTTTTCATGAGACAAGTATCAAGAAATAAGAGTAATATTTATTAAAGGGTAAATAAATGTCGACTTTTACTCCAAATGTGCTCCTTAAATCATGAATTGTAGTGGTTGAGTGTATCGTCAAAAACTTTCAAAAAAGTTCAACATAGACTAATCCTTTTTGATACTTGCCTCGTGAAAAATAAGGGAAAAAAGAAAAGATGGTCAGGAAATATAATGAAAAAGCGGTGTTATACCTGCCTCGTTAATACTTGCCTCGAAAAGAATTAAGGGAAAAAGGAGGAAAAAAGGAAAAATAATCACAATTCGCGAGGGATTTTTATAAGAATGAGTATAAGGCCAAAAAATTGAAAAATTTACCACGATTTTTCGTCTTCCGTGTGTCCCTGCCATTTAAGTAAATATTCAACTTTCCCATCAATTGTCATTCGCTTGTTCAGAATTGCTTCCACAGCGAATTGATTTTTATGTTTTGATGATGAGCAAGAGTTTGAAGTTTTCTTGCTTCGTTTTGGTGCCATTTTTTTAATTGTTAGTGATCTGCAACCTAAAATTTTTAAGTAGACTTAATTGAATTACTATCCTATTGCTATGATTTTAGGAATAGAAAACTGATTTATAATTTAAAAAAATATATGTACTATAAAGATAAGAACTAGTAGTTACATATGCAGTGCCTCGAAGTGCGTATGCAATGGGTTTAGTTACGTCTGAGGGAGCGTTTGGTACGATACGTTTTTTTGATAAATATTTTCTTAAATAATATTTAAAAAATAAATAATATTTTTTTTTCTTTCCAACGCTCTGGGCGTTGGAAAGCCTATCGGCTTTGGGGCACGCTTCGCGTGATGCTGGAATCTTTGAATTCCTGGAAGAAATGTTTAGCTTTTCTCGAACTTTTTTAATGGGTTTTCAGTCGGGTCTTTGCTACACGATGTCCTGTTTCACCGACCGCAGCGGCGACCGAAGCGAAGCAAACCGCGAGCCCAACTTGCCGCAGCCCAACACACCGCAGCCCAACTTACCGCAACGGACACGCTTCCCCCGTTGACGGGACAACTTCCCCCTTTGACAGGACAAATTCCCTCGTTAACGGGACTACTTCCTCCGTTGATGGAACAACATCCCCCGTTGACGGGACAACTTCCCCCGTTGACGGAACAACATCCCCCGTTGACGGGACAACTTCACCCGTTGACGGGACAAACACATCCCCCCTTCCCCCGTTGACGGAACAACATCCCTCTTTGACGGGAAAACTCCACCCGTTGACAGAACAACTTCCCCCGTTGACGGGATACCTTCCCCCGTTGAAGGAACATCTTCCCTCGCTGACGAGACGTGGAAACAAATTTCCCGACATTGGAACAATTTTCCCCGTCACTTTAATAATCTTCCACGACATTTGAATAACTTTATTGATTAGTTTATTATGAAATTGTCGGCGGTAAGTTGGGCGTGCGGTAAGTTGGGCCCGTGGTAAGTTGGGCTCGATGTAAGTTGGGCTGCGGTAAGATGGGGTGTACCCATTTGTAGTTGATTCCACTATGATTTTTCAATTTTCGTGGGCCTATATCTCGGTCCCTAGGTATCGAACCAACTTCTTCCACACCTAGTTCGACTTATCTTTCCAAGCGCTTTCGAATGACACCATGTTTAGTATGTTTCGGCGACACAGAAAAAGAGCTAGGTAAAGAGCGAGAAATCAATGAAAGAAAAGATGAATGATCAAAATATAAAGATAAATATCTAACCCTACATCATGAGGAAATCTTAGAATTAGAAATTTAATTTTGAGTTTATTTCTAAGCATTAAGATAAAATATAGTATATGTATGTGGAAATTAGGTGGGAGCAAATAACTCCAATAAATAATGCAACTGGTTATACTATAAACTGCATCAGAAATGAAAGAATTATCGATTGGTGAAAGGAAAAGAGAAAATTTCTCTTTCTCTTCATAACATTGTCTATCTTCACTGCTGCGATGTCAAAATGTTAACTCATAATATATTTAAAAACATCTACCTATTCTCTCGTTCTCACGATTACCAGATAGAGAGATGTAAATAGCTTGCTAATCACTGGAGAGTGATTAGCAAGTCTTACCGAAGAGAAACAGAAAGGTGAATTTTTGCTAATAGTTTGGAATTCGTCCCCCCTTTTTCCCGTGGCGCGACACATGAGGATATGACTTTTGAGGACACGACACTTGAGGACCGACTTTTGAGGACGCGACCTTTGAGGATGCGACTTTTGAGGATGCGACTCTTGAGGACGCGACCTTTGAGGATGCGACCTTTGAGGATGCGACTTTTGAGGATGCGACTCTTGAGGACGCGACCTTTGAGGATGCGACCATTGGGGATGCGACTTTTGAGGATCAGACATTTGAGGATACCCTAATGTCAAAAAAAAAATTAAAAAATAAAAAATGTTAATTTTATGTTTAAGAATAAGAGGTTTGATATCGAGTGATAAAAGGGGTCTGAATTGATCAAAGGGGATTTAAGTGTTATCAAAGGAGGTAACCCTATTGATCTTTCGATATCACACCCAAATAAGGATATCGGATTCGAATGGATATCGGAAGAATACCTCGATGACTGGATGGATACAGGATTAAGAGGTAAATGTCCGGTTGGTGTCCTACCTGTCTGCAAAGAGGCCCGAGGTCGATCAATCCGAGACCGAGATTGCAAAATTGGCGAGGATCTCAGCCTCGGCGAGGCCTCGACCTCGTGCAACTCTACTTAATACCACGATATCAGGCCCAAATCAATCCCTTTATATTCACTTTGACCCCTTGAAATTTCCCGATATCACTCAAGGTCCACCTGACCCTATATGAAAGAGAAAACACAAAATACGGACGGACACGCACTACTTCGAAAACTGAAATGATTATTATTAATAATGATCATTTTTTGCTCGTTAGGCCTTGAGCAAGCCATAAAATTATAAAATTTAAATTTCTTAAGCATAAAATTAACATTTTTTATTTTTTAATTTTTTTGACATTAGAGTATCCTCAAATGTCTGATCCTCAAAAGTCGCATCCCCAAAGGTCGCATCCTCAAAGGTCGCGTCCTCAAGAGTCGCATCCTCAAAAGTCGCATCCTCAAAGGTCGCGTCCTCAAAAGTCGGTCCTCAAGTGTCGTGTCCTCAAAAGTCATATCCTCAAGTGTCGGGTAGCCTTTTTTCCTTTCTATTATTTCCTAGTTTTTCCTAATTTTATGGCAAATTATACATCATTCGAAAGAGCTCTTCGAGCTGAGTCGAATGACAGTAAAATTAACGAAAAATGACTCAAGTAAACGGCTGTAGTTTAGTCGAGGGCCTGCACCGAACCGGGACAAATGATATGTCAATCGATTCGTCTCGGCGAGCTGAGTCGAACGGTACCACTCTCCAGATGCGGAAATGCCTGTGGACCGAGATATAGGTCCCTGAAATTTGAAAAACCAAAGGGGGGAGTAAGCACTTTTTGGGGGTGAAAAAATCAATTTTCTGAATAATAGCTCGTTCGAAAGAGCTCCTCGAGCTGAGTCGAATGACACCCAACTCACTGTGATTGGACGAGTTTGAACCAAGATATAGGACTCGAAATGGTCAAATTTCTGGGGTGATTTTTGGGGTCAAAAATTCGATTATACAAATGATAGCTCATTCGAAAGAGCTCGACGAGCTGAGTTGAATGACACTAAAATCAGCTCGATCCGATCATTCTGAACAAAATTATGAACAATTCAATTTTCGCTTGAATAACAGTTTTGGTGTTGCTACGGAGGGTAGGTCGGCATTCAAGGCTGAGAATCAGTAAAAAGGAATAGGATTAAGTTACGAGCCCAGACCCAGCGACCGTAGACTCCCCGCGAGGCGCGTGCCGCAAAACTCCGCGCGAAGCGCGGAGTTTTGCACAAGCGCCTCGCCGACGCTCCATAGGTTTAAGTTGACAATTTCGAGCCCTATATCTCGGTTCATACTCGTCCAATCACAGTGATTTTGGTGTCATTCGACTCAGCTCGAGGAGCTCTTTCGAATGAGCTATTATTCAGAAAATTGATTTTTTCACCCCCAAAAAGTGCTTACTCCCCCCTTTGGTTTTTCAAATTTCAGGGACCTATATCTCGGTCCACAGGCATTTCCGCACCTGGAGAGTGGTACCGTTCGACTCAGCTCGCCGAGACGAATCGAATGACATATCATTTGACCCGGTTCGGTGCAGGCCCTCGACTAAACTATATCCAAGTAAACAAAGTTATGACCGTTTATTTTACCCCCTTAGATTGTCGCAAAAACTATGTATCAAACAAAAAAACTCAAAATGGTCGGGAAACGTTGAAAAAAGTGGGGCGAATTCCAAACTATTACCGAATTTTTGGTCTTATTGTATAAAATGTATTCCAATGTCTACTAGTGCTAGAAAAAAATTTCTTAATTATAAAAATCGATATGGTAGGATATAAATCGATACGGAGAAGCATTTAATTCAGGTTTGTCTACACATTCGTTTTTTCTGCTCAATTTATTTGGGTACTTGTGGGTTATCCCTAACCAGTTTTTGCGGACATATTTTGCGGACTATTTTGTATACACAGAATGGTCAGTCTTCCTCTTTCCTCAATTTCACTCTATTTCATTATGGCATTATTCAATGAGAGGCAAAAAAAGATTAGTTTTAAATATGTATAAATGACCTATTTTTAAATCATGTTTGCCTCTCATTGAATAATGCCATAGTGAACTCTTTCCTCAATTTCACTGTGTTAATAGAGGCAATAAAGAGGGGCAACAAAGAAAGGATTATTTTTCTGCAGTGTCATCAAATATGAAAATAACAGATCAATCTTTTCATTTTTATTCATACATATTTCACTCATTTAGAAATATTTTTATAGGATGATAAGCACCAAACTCCGCATTTGCGTTCCTTAACAGAGTCTTACCAAATTAACCAAACACGGTCCAGAAACAGCTTCACATTTTCGACAAATCTAACCAATTATGATATCAATCGAGCTAAAAATGGTCAAGGATTCCGTAAAAAAGGGGTGGGTATACTCTACTATTACCGAAAAGCTGCTCTTAAAGCACAGATCGGTCCATATTTTATCTTGGTCGTTCCATGATTTGGTAAGACTGTGATTTGTCACGGTTTTTGTGGACGTATTTTGCGGACTCTTTTGTATACACAGAATGGTCAGTCTTCCTCTTTCATCAATTTCACTCTATTTCACTATGGCATTATTCAATGAGAGGCAAACATGATTTAAAAATCGGTCATTTATATTTAAAACTAATCCTTTCTTTATTGCCTCTCATTGAATAATGCCATAATGAAATAGAGTGAAATTAAGGAAAGAGGAAGACTGACCATTCTTTGTATACAAAAGAGTCCGCAAAAACTGGTTAGGGATAACCCACAAGTACCTTTATTTGTTTTTCCAACCGTTTTTCAACAGTTTGTTAACTGGCCAACCAGGTCCATCCGGACACTGAAATTTGCAATGAGAATAGT